AAACAATTGGGTAGACTAATGTGTGTTCAATTGTGCAGGAACAAATATTATTATATTGTTTTACATTGTACTGAACATTCAAAGAGAAGCTCTAAAGAGGCAGATTCTGAAGATCAAACTCTGAAAAATCATCTTCTGATCAAGTCATCTTTTGATGAATAAAACCTGAAGACTCTAGACTATGATCAAGTCAACCTCTGAAGACTCAAAGTTTGAAGGATCATAAGCTAAGACTCACCAGTCAAAGCTCAAGAACCAAGGAATGTCTGAAAAGTCACTATCAGGCTCTAAGGTCAGTTTGTCTTCTATCAGTCACGTGAAGACTTAGCAGAAAGTTGCAGAAGCCTGAAGATTTACAACTAATAATTCCTTTTGTCACAAAAGAGTTTCAAATGGAATTGCAACAATATTAAATATTTTAGGAAGCTTTGTAACGAATTTGTTGATGCTTCTCTCAAAGACTCTCTTGTGCTAGAAATTCTCTCCAACAAATCTATCATGATTCTCTATATAAGGAGCTAAAGATTTGGATAAACTAAAAGAATTCTACGCCTTGACAAGAAAAAGAGAAATTACTCAGCTAAAACAAAGAGCACAAAATTAACTTAGAACTTCTTAGCAATTGTATATTTTTAGATGTTCTAAAGTCTTAGAGTTTTGTATGTTGTATTTTGTTTAAACATCTGATTGTATATCAAATGTAGTTATCAATCTATAACTATAATATATCTATTAGGTAGATTATAGTAAGTCTCTTGATTGTGTGCTTGAGCATTTGGAAGTCACTTGCTTGTGTTCTTGAGCATTGAAGTCTCTTATCTGCATGCTTGAGCAATCAGAAGTCTCTTTCCCGTGTGCTTGAGAAATCATAAGTCTCTTGATTTTTTGCTTAAGAATTTGAAGTCCCTTACTTGTGTGTTTTGACATTAGAAGTCTCTTGTGTGCTTGAGAATCTTGTAGTCATATTTGGTTATAGTCTTTTGGAAGTGCAAGGGGAATTAACTACTCCTAATTTGCAGGAGGAACCAGGATAATTGGTTGTGTGTTTTCTTGCTCTCTTCTTTATTTTGAATCAACATTATTTTGCTGCTTTCATCATCAGACTCTGATCATATTCTGAACATTGTGATTAGAATTTGACATGTAACTTTAAAATATAAAAAGAAGAAAAAGTTAACATAATCCAACCCCCTTCTTGTGTTTTTCTCACCTTCACTTGGCATCAGAGCACGATTTGTGCATAAAAACTTAACAGTGGTACATAAAATATACTAAGAGTAAAACATCATGGCTAAATCTGATTCTGAAACCTCTAGTCATGTTCATAATGTTGTGCCCTTTGATTATAACGCCTATGAAAAGAATACCTATATCTCAAAACCTCCAACATTTAGTGGAAATTTTATTGATTTGGAATGGTGGAAAAGAAAAATGTACACTCACGCCATAGGTCTTGATGATGAGCTATGGGATATTCTTGAAGGTGGAATTGACTTCGAAGTCGATAAAGTATATATGATGGCTGATAGAAAGAGTCTCCCAACTGGTCAGAAAAAGCTTTACATAAATCATCCTATAGTAAGAGGAATCTTGATAGATTCTCTACCTCATTTTTGTCATCTCAAGATTCTCAACAAGTCTACTACCAAAATCATCTTTGAATCTTTTTGTGCTTCCTATGAAGGGAATCAACAAGTGAAAGAGGCTAAGGCAAAACTTCTAGTTTGACAATATGAATTGTTCATAATGAAGGAGTATGAAGACATTGAAATCATGTTCTCAAGGTTTCAAGTTCTTATATCTGGACTTCAAGTTTTGAACAAGAGCTACACTACACCTGATTATGTCAAGAATATTCTTAGGAGTCTTCCTATCAAATATAGACCTAAGGTAACTGCCATACAAGAAGCCAAAGACTTAAACAAGATAAGTCTGGAAAGTTTAATCAATAATTTCGAGAGTCATGAGAGGGAGCTTATTGGAGATGAACCAACAAATAAATCAAAGTCTCTTGCTTTGAAATATGTTGATAAATCTGCTAAATCCTCCAAAGCCTGGGAATCTCAAGAAGCTGCTTATGTAGCAGGTTCTAAAGATGTAATAGTTGATGAGGTTATGGAATTTTTGAACAAGAGATTTCAATATTTGACAAAGAAGAAAACAAGATTATATGATATAAGCAGTGGCTTTAGAGGAACTAGTTCCAGAGAAAATAAGGATGATCAAAATGAGTGCTTCAACTACATGAAGCCTGATTACTTCATTGTTGACAGTCCAAAATTACATAAGGACAAAGTAAAGAAAGGAAACTATAATAAGGAAAACTTCGGAAACAAGGACAAGAATAATCTCATGGCAACATGGGATTAACTTGGAGATGAAGAAGATTCTAACAACAATGAAGAAAAAACACATATAGCCTTGATGGCTCATACATCCTCTAATGTAGAATCTGACTCAAATTCTAGTTCTAATGAAGACGAAGATGAAGTACTTGCTAATTTATCTCACTAAGATTTAATTACTCTTGCTTAAGATCCTATTGATTGTTGTCAAGTTAAAGCCAGGCATGCGAAAACTATGGAAAAGCGGTATGATCTTTTGAAAGACTAATAAGATTTTTATAAAAATAAAATTGTTGAATTAAAAAGAGACCATACTTGTTTAATAAATGACATGTATTACAAACCCATTGATAAGTATTAAATGGATCTTTAGGAGTTTGTTATTTCTGGCTTTAATAGAACAAAAATAGCTTCTATGATTTACAATGTTGGTAGATGCAAAGGAGAAGCTCTTGTCTATTTTGGAAAATCTTTTGACCACAGGTCTGGATCATGGAGAAAACCAGCAGAACCTTCTTCTCTAAGATCTGATCAAAAAGGAATTTAATTTTACTTTTTACGTGTTTTTGAAAAAGTAGAGGTTCTGAATCAATTAGAATCAAAGGTAGTTGAATCAAAAGTTTTGAAGAAATCAAAACCAGAAACCTTTTAGTCTAAGGTTCTGAAGAAACCAGGGGCAGTGATTCAAAAGTCTAAAGTTATGATGAGACCAAAACCTAAGACATTAGATTAAGAGGTTCTAAAAGGTTCAAAACCAAATGATAAAAGAAACTCAAGACACAAAATTTTTAAATCAAAAGATTTGATGGTTCCAAGCCTTACTACGTGAAGGCTAAGGTACAAGGTCAAAATAGACCTTTCAGAACTAAACCTAGAGGACCCATCAAATTATGGGTACTTAAGTCTGAAATTATTTTTGTAGAAGATATGATAAGTAAAGCAGGAGCCATGAAATCTAGACAATGGATGCTTAAAACATATGATAGAATAAAAACACATGTTCCAAATCCTAACTCTGAAAGAGGTAGAAAATATGGAATCTGGAGGAAACCAGAAAAGATGGATGACTGTTATTGGTACTACTGAAGTTGGAATATTAGAAATTAATGCTTCAAAAGTTATCCAACCTCTGAAGGTCATCCAAAAAAGGGAGCTCATAATGATTCTCCAATGTTGTGTGAAATCTGGTACCCAAACCTCATCAGAAGAATATTATTGGAACAAAATGGCTCTTTAGAAACAAGCTCAACAAACAAGGAGAAGTGGTAAGGATTAAATTTAGACTGGTATTTCAAGGCAGCGGTCTTTCTCTGAAACATTTGCACATGTTGCAAGGTTAGAGGCAATCAGACTGTTCCTTTTATATGCTACTAATCATAATATTATCTTATATTAAATGGATGTTAAGAGTGCATTTTTGAAAGGTGTAAATTCTAAAGAACTGTATGTCAAACAACCTCCTAGATTTGAGGACTCCATCCATCCAGAATATGTTTTTAAACTTAACTAATCTCTCTATGGACTTAAATAAGCTCCTAGAGCTTGGTATGAGAGACTAAGCAATTTTCTGTTAGAATATGGTTTTAAAAAGGGTCAAGTGGATGCTATACTATTAAAAAAACACTGAAAAATTAAATCTTAATTGTTCAGGTCTATGTAGATGATATTATTTTTTGTTATACTAATGCTACTATTTACAAGGAATATTCCAAGACTATGCAAGCTGAATTTGAAATGAGCATGATAGGAGAGCTGAAGTTCTTCTTGGAATTCAGATAAATCAGTGCAAAGATAGAGTTTATGTTCATCATATAAAAAAGAACTTTTGATGAAGTTTAAGTTGGATGATTGTGAAATCACGACAACTCATATGCATCCAACTTACAATCTAAACAAAGAGAAAAGCATCGCCAAGGTCTGTCAGAAGCTATACAGAAGTATGATTGATTCCTTACTTTACCTAACAGCTTCTAGGCCTGAAATCTTATTTAGTGTTTTCTTGTATGCAAGGTTTCAGTCAGATCCTAGAGAAACTCACTTAAGTGATACTAAAAGGATCTTTAGCTATTTGGAGGGGACAACTAATCTAGGGTTGCTTTATAAGAAATCCCTAGACTATAAGCTAGTTGAATTCTGTGATGCTAGCTGTGTTGGGGATATAATTAAAAGAAAATCCACTAGTTGAGGCTATCAATTCATAGGTGAAAACCTTATATCCCGGGCCAGTAAAAGACAAGTAACTATTTATTTGTCCATAACAGAAGCATAATACACCTCAGCTGCTAGTTGTTGCACACAACTACTTTGGATGAAATATCAACTAGAGGATTATCAGATTTTTTGGACCAATATACCTATATTTTGTGAAAATACTACTGCTATTTATTTGACAAAGAATCCTATTCAACATTCCAGAACCAAGCACATTGAAATCAAACATCATTTTGTTAGAGATTATGTTCAAAAGAGTCTAATAGATATACAATTCATTGATATTGATCATCAATGGACTGATATATTACCAAACCTCTTACTATCGAAAGATTTGAGTTTATTAAAAAGAATTTGAACATGCGTTTCATTGAAGAACATTGTTGGTTTCTAAATGAATGATTAGAGTCTAATGATGATCAAAATCTATTGTGATCAAAAGCTCTAAACTAGCTTCTGATGAATAGTAGACTCTGAAGCATTTCAACCTCTGAGGCTAAGAACTTGATTATTTGTCTCTAATAGCATATAAGTCAAATTTCTTTTTATTGGAGTATCTTCTATCCACTTATGTGTAACTTATCTGAAAAGTCCTTTGACTGTTTTGGTGTTTTATCTGTTGGATTTTCTTATCCTTTAGATTTTGTTGTTATTGTTCATACACTAAGCTATATTATTTTGGATTTAGTATTTTATTCTGGTAAAATAAATCATGACATAATTCTCCTTAGTAAAAAAAAATGTTTTTCAATCCTTATTTTCTAAAGTTTCTTGTTAAACTGGTTGAAAACTACTATGAAATCACAACATCAATGGTGAAAACAGGTAGTTAGTAAAAGGAGGATATTTGCAATTAAAAGATACAAGACTCATTCTTATTTATATGAAAATGGTTACATAATGTAGATTCATATGACAACATATGTGCTCAAAGAAACTTAAATCTTCAAACTTGGTCGTCGACACAACCATAAGTCATGAAGAAATAGATACAATTCCCATCTGCATCTAAATCCTTTGCAAATTCCCCAGCATGATCCTTTTTCCTTTTGGGGTTCTTCATTTCTTTCTACGAAGTTCTACCTATCTTGGAGGCCGCAATAGATATGCTTGAACCTTCACCTTCTATGGCTTTATGAGCTTTTGCAGCTTCAATAGATATGACATTCTCTTCCTTCTCTTGCTTCTTCATGATCTTGCATACCTCCTTAGAAAAATCTTTCCTCAACTTCTTATCCTGCTTTGGCTTGCCCATAATTCTTGAAAAAAGGAGTTTGAAGGAATAGAGATATGATCTTGTTGGTAATGCAAATATGTTTTTTTATAAAAAGTGAGGGATAACAACTAGTGATTTTTGATATGGAAGCACTAATGGACGCATGAGAGAGAAGTTGGTCTTCATCTTCATGCACGTCTTCCTAGTTCTGATCTCTACCTATTTATGCTTAGTTTTCAGAACCGAGGTTTGACCATCTTGAAAATTGAAAAATGCTTCTATCAACCATACTAGCCAAACCTTTTTTAAAAATTCCTTAGACTAAAGGGGAATATGACTGATTTTACCTCATTTTTATTCAGAATTACTTTTCCCCAAATATTTCTTTTCTTTAATATTTTTTTCTTCTTCTGATTTTATCCTTTTGTTGATGACAAAAGTGGGAGAAGAAAGATAAGTATTTAAGCATCTGAATCTGATTGATTGATATTATTTTTTACTTAAATTCTGAAGAATTTATTATTGTGCTTCAAAGATAAATTCAAATAAGCTGGATAGGACTTAGAGAGAGCTTACAAATCTCGCCCTTAGGACTATTTGACTTAGGTGGAGCTTACAAACCTCACCCTTAAGATTATCAAACTCTGGGGGAGTTTTCAAACCTCATACTCTGAAGTCATAATCTTAATGAAATCAACAACCATTATTCTTAAATACTTGTGTTTATCATCACCAAAAAGAGGGAGATTGTTGGGAAAAAATTGGTTTATATTATATCCCTTAGGTTTTGATGATAACAAAGTATTTAAAGAATAATTAGGTAGACTAATGTTGGCTCAAGTGTGCAAGAAAAAATATTATTATTTTGATTGAAAGTCAATTTTGATACTACACTGAACATTCAAAGAGAAGCTCTAAAGAAGCAGATTCTAAAGATCAGACTCTGAAGAATAAACTTTTGATCAAATCATCTTCTGATGAACAAAACCTGAAGATTTCATACTCTGATCAAGTTAACCTCTGAAGTCTTAAAGTTTAAAGGATCAGAAGCTAAGACTCTGAGTCTGAAGGACCAGGACGTGAAACCAATCAAAGCTCAAGAATCAATGAATGTCTGACAAGTCACTATCATACTATGAGGTCAATTTATCTTCTATTGGTCACATGAAGACTTAACAAAAAGTTGCAGAAACCTAAAGATTTACAAATGATAATTCCTTTTGTAGAAAAGGAGTTTTAAATGGAATTGCAGTGGCATTAACTGTTTCAGGAAGCTTTGCAATGAATTTGTTGATGCTTTTTGAAATTCTGGCAGCAGATACTCAATGTCACAGTGAATGTTATGACACCGTATCTGACTTTCTATAAGACAGTAAATAAAAATAGTAAAGAACACAGTCAATTGTTTACCCAGTTCAGTGTGAAACAACACCTACTCTGGGGGCTACCAAGCCAGGGAGGAAATCCACTATAAGAGATATTAATTCAGGAATAAACCAACCAGTTTATCTCCTTCACTTAAGATCTACCCAATGCAACTTCAATCTAAATTCAACTTAAACCTGAGTTCCTACTCACTCCCCCTCAATCACAGCAGTGATACTTAAAACAATTGACTAATGAATTAATGAAGTCACTCTTCAGAACATACACTTGATTATGCTTCACAGCTTTTTAATCAAGTAACACAAACACTCGTGCTTCACAGCTTTGAGTGATACATAAACCTAACTTGACTTTGCTTCAAAGCTTTAGTCAAGAGACACAAACACTCTTGCTTCAAAGCTTTGAGTGATACAAAAACCCTTACAATCAAAACCTATTCCAAGTCACTTATCACAATGATACTTGCTTGGATTACAGCAGTTAAAACTATACAGCTCCTAATTGATCTTCAGTCAAAAGAGATACTTTGCAACCAGCATTCCTGTTGAATATATATGCAGCTGTTTCTTCAGTTAGGGTTTCCACAAAAAGCTAGGGTTAATTAGGTTTAACCTTAAGACTTGGTCACAAGACTTTATCAACCAGATTAGGGTTGAGCTAGGTTAACCCAAAGTCCACGTGAGATTCTGTTCTGGAAGGAAAGAGCCATCTTCCTGAAAAATCTCAGAATTAACCAAACTGCATATCTGTTAGATCAGTACAGGATGTCTTAACATTTGTTATGACATCAGAATTCCTGTTTATTGATTTTGGTAGAAGGCAATAAATGTGATCATTGCAAAATGCTCAGATACACACTCATAAACAGTAGCTACTGTATGCCATACTTTTTCTACATAAAGTACCTAATAATCCAGAATGTTATGACATCAGTCATGACATTTACACACCTGGTTTTACCAAAAATACATGCCAATAACTAAACACTTACAAACTCCCCCTTTGGCAGATTTTTGGCTAAAACTCCTAAGCAATCAGAGAATAGAGAGCAGCAGAATGAATATGACTGCAGAAAAAAAATGATGTCTACCAAGAAATAACACAAAATATCTCCCCCTCTTTAGCCACAAATAGGCCAAAGATACATGTACTTATATGTTATACAGTCATCCAAAATAAGTAATAAAAGAAAAAAATAAAATCTGAAAACACTTGCATCAACAGGAACCAACATCAGGCTTGTCAACTCCACCAAACTTTAAGCATTGTCATCTTCAGAGGAGCTACTTTCTTCAGCATTGAGCTGATCTTCAGCAGCACCCTCTTCCCTTCTGTTTCCTTCAGTCTCCTCCTGTTCCAACTAGAGAGAGAACTTTGATTGAGAGAATGGGATTTGTTGCAGAGTTGAGAGAGGAAGGAGGCAAATGAGTGTCTATTCAGCTTCTTAATAATTATGAAAGAAATGGGAAAGCATATGATTAACCCAATCAAAATAGACTTAACAAAAATAACTCCTTCAACCCTTGTTTTAAGAAAAATTAATTGCTACAATTCCTCCTGTTGGCAAATACCCAACTTGCCCCTCAAGTTTTCAAATTGATTTGCATCAAGTGCCTTGGTAAAAATGTCAGCCAGTTGTAGCTCAGTGGCAACATGTTCCAGTTTAATCGTCTTCTCTTCTACAAGGTCTCTGATAAAGTGATGTCTTATGTCAATGTGCTTGGTCCTGCTATGCTGGATAGGGTTCTTAGAAATGTTGATTGTACTCAGATTGTCGTAGTACAATGTCATAACATCTTTTGTGACATTATACTCAGTAAGCATCTGTTTCATCCAGATCATTTGAGAACAGCTACTACCAGCTGCAATGTATTCAGCTTCAGCAGTAGAGAGAGACACACAGTTCTGTTTCTTGCTGAACCAGGAGACCAGATTATTTCCTAAGAAGAAACATCCTCCAGAGGTGCTTTTTCTATCATCAGCACTTCCAGCCCAATCAGCATCACAATAACCAGTCAGAGTTGGTTCACAACCATGAGAGTACAGCAAGCCATAGTTGTAAGTTCCACTTACATACTTCAAAATTCTCTTTACTTGGTTGATATGACTGACTTTAGGATCAGCTTGGTATCTTGCACAAACTCTAACTGCAAAAGCAATGTCAGGTCTGCTGGCTGTTAAGTACAACAAACTTCCTATCATGCTTCTGTACAGACTTTGGTCCACCTCAACCCCACTTGAATCTTTGGATAGCTTTAAATGAGTAGGAGCAGGGGTCCTTTTGTGACTGACATTCTCCATACCAAACTTCTTGACAATGTTCTTTGCATACTTGCTTTGAGATAGAAAGATTGAGTCCTCCATCTGTGAGACTTGCAGTCCAAGAAAATAAGTCAGTTCTCCCATGAGACTCATTTCGAATTCAGCCTTCATCTGGTCAGCAAAATGTTTAACCATTTGTTCTGAAATTCCCCCAAACACTATGTCATCAACATATATTTGAGCTACCATTAACTTCCCTCCTTCATTTTTGACAAAGAGGGTTTTATCCAAGCCTCCTTTTCTGTATCCTTTGTCTGAGAGAAATTTTGTTAACCTGTCATACCATGCTCTAGGAGCTTGTTTCAGGCCATATAGAGCTTTCCTCAATTTGTAGACATGATCAGGGTGGTTTGGATCCACAAAACCTTTAGGCTGTTCCACATAAACTTCTTCATTTAAGTACCCATTTAGGAAGGCACTTTTTACATCCATCTGAAACAGCTTGAACTTCAGGAGACAAGCAATTCCCAATAGGAGTCTGATAGATTCCAGTCTGGCTACAGGGGCAAAGGTCTCATCAAAATCAACCCCTTCAACTTGAGTGTATCCTTGGGCAACAAGTCTTGCCTTATTCCTAGTGACAACTCCTTCAGCATCTGATTTGTTCTTGTATATCCATTTTGTGCCAATGATGTTTGTTCCCTCTGGTCTAGGAACTAACTCCCAAACTTCATGTTGCTTAAATTGGTTCAATTCATCTTGAATTGCACCAATCCAGTATTCATCAATTAAGGCCTCCTTAACATTTCTTGGTTCAATTTTAGACACAAAGCAAGAGTTTGAGATGATTTCTCTAGATCTTGTAATGACTCCACTATTTGGATCCCCTATAATGAGTTCTTTAGGATGATCTTTCTGAATTCTGATGGAAGGGATTTTGCTAGCTTCCTTGGATTCAGAGTCTGCTGTAGTGGTGTTAGGAGGGTCATTCTGTTGAGTTGGAGTCTCAAAGAATGTCTCAACATTACAAGGGACATATGTTTCTTCATGATAATCATCAACTATGACATTTATTGATTCCATCATGAATTTGGTCCTGGAATTGAATACCCTATACGCTCTGCTGTTGGAGGAGTATCCTAGAAATATACCTTCATCACTTTTAGGGTCCAGCTTTCTCCTTTGTTCACGATCTTCCAGAATATAGCATTTGCTGCCAAATACATGGAAGTACTTCACAGTTGGCTTTCTTCCTTTCCAGAGTTCATAAATGGTGGATGAGGTTCCCTTTCTCAAAGTGACTCTGTTATGGACATAACAGGCTGTATTCATAGCTTCAGCCCAAAAATGAATAGGAAGTCTTTTGGCATGTATCATAGCTCTGGAAGATTCCTGTATGGTCCTATTTTTCCTTTCTACAACTCCATTTTGTTGAGGAGTTATAGGAGAAGAGAATTCATGACTAATTCCTTTTGAGGAACAGAACTCATTAAACTTACTGTTTTCAAATTCCTTGCCATGATCACTTCTGATTCTGACAATACACCCTTCTTTTTCTCTTTGAATTCTTTTGCACAGTTCTTTAAAAACTTCAAACACATCAGATTTTTCCTTAATGAAGTTAATCCAGGTGAATCTGGAATAGTCATCCACAACAACATAGGCATATCTCTTTCCACCAAGACTTTCCACCTGCATTGGTCCCATCAGATCCATATGTAGAAGTTCCAGAACCTTAGAGGTGGTCAGATGTCTTGACTTTGGATGTGACATCCTAGTCTGCTTACCAACCTGACATTCACCACAAACTCTCCCTTCATCAATTTGTAGTCTTGGAATCCCTCTGACTGCCTCTATGGAGATAATCCTTTTCATTCCTCTTAGATGAAGATGGCCAAGTTTTTGGTGCCACGGTTTCACCTCTTTTTCTTCTTTGGCAATAGAACACACAGTGGAGTAATTAGTGTTCTCAGGCTCCCATAAGTAACAGTTGTCTTTAGATCTGACTCCTTTCATTACAACTTCTTGTTTTTCATTAATTACAAGACATTCAGATTTTGAGAAGTTGACCTTGAATACTAGATCACATAATTGACTAATACTAATGAGATTAGCAGTCAGGCCTTTTACCAAAAGTACTTCATTCAGATTTGGAACTCCAGGGCAGTCCAAATTACCAACTCCTTTGATTTCACCTCTAGCACCATCTCCAAAGGTCACATAACTAGTGGTGTGAGGTTTAACATTATTGAGAAGGTTCTTGATTCCAGTCATGTGCTTAGAACACCCACTGTCAAAGTACCAGTCTTCCTTTGCAGAGACTCTCAGGGAAGTGTGGGCTATCAGGGCAGTAGCCTTTTTCTTCCATTGAGGAGTATGTGGTGCCCTGTTAGACTTAGGTTTGACACCTGGGTTCTGATTAGGGTATCCATACAATCTGAAGCAGAAAGGCTTTATGTGACCAAACCTCCCACAATGATGACATCTCCATCTTTGGTACTTTTTCTTCATATTTCTCTGTTCCTGATGTTGAGTGTTATGTTGTGACATCTGCTTTGACATTTGTTTATCAGACCTGATCTTCTTGTCTGCACCAGATTTCTTTGCTGTCACAAATCCTAGACCAGACTTGTTTCCCACATTTTGTCCAACCTGAAGGATTTCTTCCAATTTGTCAGTTCCATTTGTCAGCATCTTGACAGATTTGGTCATCTGGTTCAGTTTTGAGTTCAGCATTTGAACTTCCCCTTCTAGATGACTTATAGTTTCAAGGTCTGCCCTTTTTTCAGCCTCCAACTTAATGATGAGTTTTGTTTGTCTCTCATTTTGCACACAGACTTCAGCACTTCTGATACACAATTTCTTGTAAGTATCAGCCAGTTCTTCAAATGTCACTTCCTCATCACTAGTGTCACTTTCAGAGGTACAAACACCAGTTAGTGCAGTAACTAGTTTGGCAGATTCTTCTTCAGAATTACTTTCTGAATCACAGTCAGACCAGGTAGCAGTCATTCCTTTCTTTTGTTTCTTAAGAAAGGTAGGACATTCAGCTCGAATATGCCCATATCCTTCACAACCATGGCATTGAATTCCTCTGCCTTGATTTCCCTTCTCTTCAGACCTTGGTCTTCTGCTGGAGTCATAAGATCTGTTAATGTCAGAGGGGATGTTCTCAACATTTGACCTTGACTTTGGATCCATTCTCTTGATGAGTTTGTTGAATTGTCTTCCAAGCATGGCTATAGCTTCTGAAATATTTTCTTCTTCATCCTCCTTGTTTTTATCTTCAGAGTTGGATACAAGTGTTATGCTCTTGTTTTTCTTGTCAACATTGTCACTGATCCCCATCTCAAAAGTCTGAAGAGACCCAATGAGTTCATCCACCTTTAACTTGCTGATATACTTTGATATTTAATAATGTATATTTATGTTATTAGATATCAAAATTAGTTTTTCAATTAATAAAAAATAATTATAATATTTTAAAAAATAGTTTTATAAAATCCATTTTTAAAAATATAAAAAACAAATCTTTTTTTTAAAGGGAAAGCAAACTAGCCCTAAACCAACCAAAATCCATTTTTTTAAGGGAAAACAAACAAGCCCTAAACCAACCAATATAGTTCATGATCCTTAGAGTTTGAATAATTTGTGTTCTATGATGGCCTTGTTGAGTACATGGACATCACTATCTCAAAAGTTTATTTCATCTTCTTAGACATTGGATTTTGTCATTGAACCCCTACTTTACACTGAGAAATCTATTTGACACCTCCTTCATTGGGCTTAGCAACTCCACATATTATATAACTTGACCATAATATCCTCATAATTAAATATAAATTCTACTATTGTTAAAATCATTTTTCAGAGTTTTTCAATAAAGTTTAGATTTAGATTTTGCATTTTTTTAAAGATAATTATAAGCGCTGTTTTCATTAAATATACATATTTATATCAAATATTTTGAAAGGATGTCAAATATTTATTGAAAATATGCTTTTTTTTCTTCTTTTTTTTACAGTATTTGAATTTTTCTGCACCAAAATTATGAATCTATAACGATAAATTAGAATTTTTCTTTAAAATCCAAAAGAAAATTCTTGCATTTTTATCGATAATTTAGAAGTATGTGGTATACCTGTATGTGTTTTTAACGACAATTTTAAAATTATCGGTAAAAATACATATATGCATACCAATATTTATAAAATGTCGATAAAAACACATAGGCGTACCAAATTTTTAAAATTGTCGTATATTCAGGGGTGTGACCATATATTTTATAAATCTGAAAGGGTCAATTTTTTTGTTGATATTTTTTGTCTCTTTTTGTTTTGTTTATAGTGAAGAGAAAAGGAAGAGACAACATGATCATTCCAAGATTGAGTGAGCATAGAGAGCAGCTGCAAATAGATCTGGTGGAGGCAGCCAATATGACAAAGAGCAATTGCATATTTAGGTAGGTAAAGTTGTTCCCACCGATTCTCATCATAGGAGGATTGAGCATTCTCGCAGATAACATACTCTTCAGCATAGATGAGGTAGAGCTGGATGGGTCAAAGATCATGATGTCGAGCTAAATTTCGCTGTTGTTGATGATATTGAGTCAGCAACTCAAGATGATATGAAGGTTCCTCCTCATGCTGATACAAAGGTTCCTGCTCTTGTTGATACAAAGGTGTCGAATCAGGATGATACAAAGTTGTCTATTCAGGCTGACACAGATGAAGGGTTCTCAGAAGAGTCGGGTGACCTTACCTGGATCAATAAGTATGTCAATCATGGGGTATTTAGATTATGGCGGGAAAATGTATAAATATTTTATTTTAAGTTGTTTTATTTATTACTAGTTAACTGAATATGAATGATAATTTAGGCTCTTTTTTTTCCTAGGGGATCACACTCTTTTGAAGGTTATTGTAGCACCCCACTTTAGAAATTATGTTGCTTATGTATTTATTTATGAATCTTCTGTGATTTTACGGAATCACTTTTTTTGTTTTACTTTTCTTTCTACTTTCTCTTGATTATTTATATATGAAAATTAATTTATTTTTGATTGATTTTTTGCACACTTATCATTTATCTCCTCTATTTTATTAATCCATGAAAAAATACCAAAAAATAATATTTATCTTGTCCTTTTTCATTAGGTTAAAAACTAGTTCTTTTTATGTGTTTCTTAAGACTTTTATTGATGTTCTTTGATTGATTCTTTGACCTAATTGATTATATGTATTCATGTAGCTATGATATACTTAGGTTGTATCTTATTTGATGTTGATGACATTGATCTCTACCTAGGGTTTAGTACACTTTAATGAATAAACTTTGTGTTTGATACTTTGAAACCCTAATTTAATCATGATATTTTCCCCTTGCCTTTGATGCATGATATTGACGTTGCTTGCTCATCCTTCCACCCATAATGATGTCTTGATGAGTATTTTCCTTGAGTTTAAGTTTTTTTCTTTGATCACATGTTCATGTATGCTCCTAAACTTTGACACTATGACTTTGTTTGATTCTAAACTTTGATGCTTACCATGTTCAAATCTTCTTAGAATTTAGAAATGATTGTTGCCATGATAACAAGAATGTTTTGATCTCTACATATTTCCATATACCTTGTATGCTTTGATTGTTTATATGTCCATGTGATTAATGATTGAATGTTTTATCAAAGTATATTTCTATCTTCTATCTTTTGTCACAACTTTTATTTGATAAATATGTTGACTTTCCCTTAACCCTAATGTAAAGATTGATTTGATCACGTGTTCATACATGCACCTAAAACCCTAATTTCATGAACCTTTATTAGATTTGACCTTCTATACCACGATACCTACTTTGTCTTTAATGACTCACCTTTGTTTATCTTGACATGTGATCTTGTGCTTAATACTTTCTCATCTTTGATTTAACACTTTTCTTAAATGACTCTCTTCAAAGCCATGTTACTTTGTGATTTTTTCTTTAACATTTGTTGCATGTATGATTACTTTTTATTCCATTGGTGATCTTAACCTTCATGTACTAGTGATTAATGTTTATCTTTTATTGGTTTAATATTTATGTATTAAATCCAAGGAAAGGTATTGTAGTGTTGACTTTATAGTCATGTACTTATGCTTGTCTTGTGATCATCTTCATATGTTTACCCTTTGTATAATATCCTTGTGAATGTTTGTCTTGTGTGTTTTTGTGTACTTTAACCCTAATCTCATTTTCAAAATTTCACCACTTTCAATTAAAAACCTTGACTTTGTCATTGCATTTTCAAACTTTCTTCTTTAATAAATACTTCAATATACTTAAGCATATTAAACTATTTCAAAATGCTAAAAGAGATTCAACCTCACCCAAATCCCTTTTCCATTTGGCTTGTCAATTTAACACCTTTTTCTAAAATATTAGATATAAATCCTCTTCATAGTAGAGATGTAATTAACCTATCCCTATAGTAATAATTAAAGTAAATGTGATTCTTTCCACTTGAGGGAGCCAGTGGCAACTTATTGATCTTATATCCAAGTTAAGAGTCCTTCCTTCATGATGATGCAAGATCCATCTTCTCATACTTGTGGTGGAATTAGTTGAGTATTCTTATTAAGATGATGAAATACATCTTCTCCTAAAATCAATCACAACAAACCCTTTTTTTTTTATTTTTACCATGAACTACAAGGTTTTGATCCTTCATTGGTATGTAGGTATAAGACTCCGTCTTTCCAAACAAAAATATAATAAAAATATATTTCTTTTCCCATCTCCATACTCTTTTAGAAAACAAACCAATTTTAACCAAAAAAATAGATATTACAAGAGGTTCCTATAGAATACTATATATACATAGGATGCTAATACCTTCCCTTTATATAATCAACCCCCGTACCTTAGATCTCTTACTTGCTTTACATTTAGTTTTTTCTTCTTGCATTGCATACATAAAAGGGTTTTTCTCTTTTCCCTTTCCTTGGAAATGATAAAGTTTGGGGGTGACTTCTTAATTTTGTGAGTTAAGTTAGTCAATAGCTTGGTCTCCCGATTTTTCACCACGACAGAAATGATGACTTCACAAGGGAATCCTCTCCTCGAAGAGGGTTAAACCTAAATTATGTTATTTGTTTCTTGTCATTATTATTTGTTTGCTTGTTTTATGTGATATTTTGTGATTCTTTTGGTGTTGGTAATGTTTACAAGGACAAGTCCTATACCCGGACTAAGTTACACTTAATATTAGGATTGGTGGTATAATCATGTTGGCTTACTTAGAGTGAGTCCTTACTAAGCTGACATGAGATCCCTTGTTCAGTGGAGGCCTTCTTGGAGTAATAGTGTTGAACAAGTTAGTTGTGAAAGCATTATTACTCTCAACCTGAGAGCCCGCGAAGATGAGGACCATAGAACATTTAACCCATCTTGGTCTTTTAGGATGTAGTGCGGTGACTATCTAGGAATAGTCCTGATTTAGTTATTACGTGATATTGCACTCAAACAAGTTTCTCTTGAGAATATTATTGGACCACAAGTAACTCATGTAAGTCGGTAATATCTGAAATATGGAATCAGAACTCTGGGAACTTTTTAGAACCTTGTTCTATAGGTACAATAAACCCTTAGTACATACATTATGGATGATTCTCACCTTTGGCTCCATGCTTGTGACATTGAATCTTTAGGCCATGTTTGTGACCTTGTTTGTGAATATTGCATAATCTTGCATTCATGAAATTTCTTTTCACACAAAGTTTCAAGGAACTTAAAGGCTCTCTTTGTGAACATCACAAGTTCTGGGATCATGGACATGGGAAAGAGAAACACTAAGAAGTACAGTTTCAGGTCTCCTAATCTAGAAGAGTTGAAAGAGCTAGCATCTTTAATGGAGGATCATACAAAGTTCAAAGAACATTATGGAATATTGTTGGCTATTCTAAATACCAATGTTGAAGAGCGAATTCTCAATACTTTGATTCAGTTTTATGATCTTGTCTACCAGTGCTTCACCTTTTTGGGTTATCAACTTTTGCATACTTTTGAGGAGTATGCCTATCTTGTGGGTTTTCCAATTTCTAATGATATTACTTTTAGTGGTTTTGAGGTGATTTCCAAATCACAAGCCATTGCAGCAACTATCCACTTAGGGAAATCTGATATAGATGCAAACCTCACTATTTCTCAAGCCAGTAGCATGGTGGAATTTAAGGCTATTTTTTCTCTAATCACTTATGGATTTGTTCTCTTCCCTAACATTGACAAATTTTTTGATGTTAATGCCATAATGATCTTCTTGATTGGGAACCCTATTCCTACTTTTCTTGGTGACACTTATTTCTCCATCCATCACAAGACTTCCAAGGGTAATGGGACTATTATATGTTGTTTACCTCTACAGTACAAGTGGTTTATTTTGCACTTGTCGCAATGTTCCATCTTCAAAGAAAACAAGGGTTGGTTGAAGTGGTCTAAAAGACTCATGAATCTTACCAGTGCGGATATTACCTGGTATTCCAAGTTTATGATGATGTTAGGATTATTGGTAGTTGCGGGGAGTTCTCAAATGTGCCTCTCATTGGTACACAAGGAGGAATCAAGTACAATTCGACTCTAGCACGTTGTTAGCTTAGGTTTCCTATGAAAGAAAAGCCTCAAGGCGTTTGGTTGGAAAGGTATTTCTACCAACAAGGGAAAGACACACAAGGATTAAAGAAGAGGATGGTGAATTCTTGGGATAATATTCATAGAAGGGAAAAGGGTCAGCTTGGGAGGAGGAATTGTGTCGCTATGGAACCTTATACTCGTTGGGTGAAGGAGAGAGAAAGGGAGCTCAAGATGACTTATGTTTGTGAGAAGCCCATGTTTCCAATAGTGACTAGACCACCTACTATACCTATTGATAACATTGAATAAGGTCAATAAGCTAGGATAAAGATAGATAAGGATGCTTAGGAGATAAAGTTTCATGCCTCAGAGATTGAGAAAGAGGAATTGAAGAAGCAGTTAAAGGAGCAGGAAGATATGCTTTTTCTTTAAGATGGTTGGCTTATTGAGAAGGATGAGAAGCTTCTTCAAAGGACTACAATGCTTAAACAATATACTAGGGAAATGAAGAGGAAATAAGAATATTTGATATATGTTACCCCTGCTCCCAATGCATGGAACAAAGTGGTTGCTCAGTGAAGAATGGAAAAACACAAGAGGGGGGGGGGGTGAATTGGGGTTTTCAAAAATAAAGCAATAGATACGTTGGTTATCCTGGTTCGTTTGAGCTCAAACTACTTCAGTCCACCCGCCAAGGTGATTTCTCCTTTCTCAAACGAGATCTTAATCTACTAATCAAAACTTGATTACACAAACACAATGACTATTGTCAATGTCTTCTTGAGTCTAAACCACAAATTGGTTTTCTCAAGGTATTATAAGATAAAACAATTGAAGGTGTGTACAAAAATGTTTTCTAAACAAAACTATATCACAACAATGATTTATACACAATTGAAAAGCATAATATAAAATGGGGTAATGATGATTTTTCTCTTTTAGTGCGTAGTAGTGTGTGGCATGATCTCTTCTTCAAGTATGCTTTATATAGGTGATGCATGAGAGACATGAGAAGATACTTTTGGAAGGTTGATAATGTGTAGTTAATGTTCTTTCCCAAAATAGAGATCTTGTCTTGGTTCAACCATTACTTTTTGATTTGTAATTAATTATTTAGTAACGCTTAAGAACATTGCTTTCTTTGAATCATATCAGAAGATGAATGTTACCGTTTGAGATTTCTTTTTGTTCTTCCAGCACTTTAATTTATCA